TTTTGCCTGTTTTTGAAACTTGTGGAATCACAGAATATGTATTCTTCGGTGTCTGGCTTCTTTCACTCAACTATAACTTTTTTAGATTCGTTTACGTTGTTCAGTGTAGGTATAGTTCACTAATTTTCATTATTCTATAGTATTCCATTATATAAATGCAACACACTTTATTTATCCAGTTCACCACTATTGGGCATGTGGACTTGTTTCCAGTTTGGAACACAGTACGACAAAGAACGCTGCTGTGAACATGTGTGTGGTGTCTCTTGGTGCACACATGACCTCCCTTCTGCAGGCTGTGAGGTCTCTCTGCAGAGTCAGAGGTCTGTATTTTCACTTCCCCACACAATGCCAAACCGCTTTGGATGCATAAGTGGTTGTACTTACCTCCATTCCGCAGTGAATGAAGTTTATGTTGATTTTACTTTTCAGTTAGAAGCAGTTAACTAAAATTAATAACGGGTATAATTATTTGTGGGTGCCTGGCATCCTCACTTGACTGGGAGGCTCCTTGGTGGGGGTCCGGGGCTGGTCTGTGGTTCTCCAAGGTGTCCTGGCATCTCCTGCCCAGCGCCTGACACATTGCAGGTGCTCAGTGCTTGTTTATGAAGTGACTGAAAAAATAATCCTCGTCTACTCAATGTTGGGTCTCACATTTTTAATTTGTGAGTAATTTCCCCAGTTTTATAACTAGGATGTTTTCATGGATTGGTTTCCTGACCTGAGGCTCAGATGTTGAAAATTCACCCTGACAGCCTGATGCTCTGCCACTCTCTCCTGCTGGCCTTGTCTATCTGGGAAGGGAGCGGGGTAGAGTACCTTGATGCTCACTGATGGCATCAGTGATAAGCGAAATTGATCCTTTCTCCCAGGGCTGATTCAGCAGGAAGCCGCCTAGGCACCACCATGCTCCGAGTAGCTGCCTTGGTCCACTGGGGCCTGTTTCGTCCCTGCACTGGGCTCTCGGTGAGGATGAGCAGCAGTGGGGTAGCTCAGAAGGGTATCCTGGCCAACCGGGTAGCAGTGGTCACCGGGTCCACTGATGGGTGAGTCTCCTGATTGCCCCATGGCCCTGAACCCTCACAGAGACCTGGGCTTCCACAGGACTCAGTGCTGTAGAGCAGGACCCAGCCTACTTTGTTGTTTTCCAGGGCTGGGTAGAGGAAGAATGGTGGCAGGGCCGAGGCTGACCTGTGCTCTGTATCGCTGCCCACAGGATCGGCTTGGCCATCGCCCGGCGCCTGGCCCAGGACGGGGCCCACGTGGTGGTCAGCAGCCGGAAGCAGCAGAACGTGGACCGGGCCGTGGCTATGCTGCAGGGGGAGGGGCTGAGTGTGACAGGCACTGTGTGCCACGTGGGGAAGGCGGAGGACCGGGAGCGGCTGGTGGCCAAGGTGAGGGGTGAGGGTGGAAGGACACAGAGAGGAGAACTTGTGGAACCTTTCCTTCCCTGCTCAGCCCTGGGAGGGGCAGGGACAGGGATGGGGGCCTGGTGTGTAGGACACATCCTGAGACCATGACTGCTGCCGGGCTGACTGAGGAAACCTCACTGTTCACAAGGGCCCTCTGGAAAGTGGCCTGTTCATGAGAGGACCCCCACCCCCACCCTACAGCTGGGACAACCACGGCTGAGGAGGAGTCTAAGGGGAAGCTCCCAGGGGGATTCCTGGAGAAGCCCTTCCTCCCCAGAGCTTTGGCACGGGAGCCTGACCTTGGGCCAGCCAGGACACTTTCCTTCACGGAGTTTGGTTTCCACAGGAGCCTTGTAACCATTCCTGGTTGAGGCGGCATCTGACCCGCAAGCGTTGCCTGAATGCCCCTTGCACCTGGGCTGCTCTGGGAGGGTGAGGCCTCCTCAGGCCCTCTCCCCACTCACCCAAGCCCCTCTCCCTGCAGGCCCTGGAGCACTCTGGGAGTGTCGACTTCCTGGTGTGCAATGCAGGCGTCAACCCTCTGGTGGGGAGCACCCTGGGGGCCAGTGAGAAGGTCTGGGACAAGGTGAGAGGCCACCCCAGGGAGGCAGCCGTGGGCCAGTGGCAGCCCTGTGCTGGGCTCCAGCACGCCGTCCCCACTAAGACTGTCGTCTCCCATCTAGACGTGACTGTGGAGTCAAGCCCGGGACAGGAGGCCTGACCACCTGTTCCCTAGAATGTGCCCTGATGCTACTTTCCAGCTTGTTGGTTTTTAGATCTGGCTGCTACATTCTTTCTGCTTTCTTTTCTCTTCCCTTCTTTTGCACTTATTCATTCAGCAATATTCATTCCGCAAATGTTTAGTGCTCTGTGCCAGGCACTGCTCTAGCCTCTGGGGACACAGCTGTGAACATACAGTAAGAGTCTCTCTGTAAGAGTCAGGAATTTATATTTTTTACACCCTTTTGTGGGGGCATATATTGGTAGTTGTGCTCCTCTTTGGGGACCTGTACCTGCTGTTGAGCCTCCACCTTCCCTAGATTAGGGCTCCTCAGTGTCCCTCAGGTGAACCTGCTGTCAGGGCCAGATCCAGCCATCAGCGTTCCACAGGCTCGGGTATGCCAGCCCTCTGCAGTCCACTTGGCGATTCTGCCATCTCTTCCACAGGAGTCCAGGAGAGATCTTGTGAAATGCCTTGAAGTCCATCTTGGGCTTCATTGTCCTCCTATGACTTCTGTTCCGTTTCCTCCCATGTTTTGTTCCCTATTCGTTCCGGACAGTCTTTCTCCTTCTGCCGTCTTTAGCATTCTCCCCTCTGCCCTAAGCACTG